TGTCAGGATTTTTTACAAATCGGGAAGAAAATAAACTCTTACATAGATCAATTTATTATTTCGTTTACCACAATGGACATTTTTTTATTATTATTTCTGTTAACAAAAATACAAACAAACTGAAGAAATAGGAAATGAATATGTATCCTCATTCATCCTAATTTGTTTTGTGAAATCTACGTCTTTTAGTCTAAACTCTGTGTTGTGGTCTTTCTTTTATGTATTGCGTTATAACATTTTGTGAGACAGCTGCACGTGATGGAGAAAAATGGATATCATTTTCCGATTCAGCATACAGGAATTACTGTAGAACATGTAAAAAGTTCAAGACACTAAAATCATCACAGGCCCGTACAATCATTCAGTTGAATGTGATTGATGAATGAACCAAACAATTTAATTGATTAAAAAATTTCCACTAATTGTCTAGCTCTAACAGTAGTAATATTAAATTTTTTTTTAATTATTTATATATTATTTTCGTAAGAAATGTTTTGATTATATATAGGAATTTTACATAATACATTTGGTTTAAGATATTTCTTTAAATATAAGATGTTGACTTCAAAGAATTAACAAGCATTAATTTTTAGTAATATACACACATTTCTTAATCTGAATATTATGGATAAATTATCTCATAAGACAGATTTAACAGTAAATGATTAGTGGAAGAACTATTTGAAGTTCATTGTCAATGGAAGTGTAGCAAAGTGTCTTAATTGTTGTGGCAAGAATTGTCAGTAATGTAGAAATGTTTCAACTCAACAATTGTTTCACCAAATTTAGCACAAAAAGTGTCACTTTATGATTGAGAATTGAGAAAAATTTTCTGTATAATTTTATAATAAAATCTGATATATATGTCAAAATGTCCTGCTTTTTCTCTGAAAATTCAGTACTTTTTACTTATCACAGAGCTTTGTATTTTGTACGATTGGTGTATAAACTTATTTTGGGAATGTAATTTCCACTGGAAAACAAAGGTTGTTATAATGTGTCTGATGAATGTTTGAAAAATAGGTAAGATCCAGAGTTTTTTGTTTGAAAGTGCATAATGCATTACGTATGAATTTTTTAAAAGGTTAGAGTTCCAGGATTTGATTACATTGGTGTTGGAAACTCTACAAACAAGAAGGATGCACAGACAAATGCTGCAAGAGATTTTCTTCAGTATCTCGTGCGTATTGGAAAACTAAGCCAATCGGAAGTACCAGTTGAATTTCCAGTAAGTCATTTCTATAAAAGTTTCCTTTTGAATACTTTTTGCATAATCATTTTCTCAGGAATAAAGATACTTACTGCTACAGTAGTCCCTCTTAGAAACAATTGACCTATCTGCTATGATAAAGAAATTGTATCTCACAGAAAGTCGTTATTCAAAGGATCAATAACCAGATAATGAATGACTGAATTCAAGCTGTGCCAGTTGCTACTGCCAAGGCTTGAGCATGGTTTATGTACTGTATAGGTAATCAGGTGGTATGGCAAATTGATATATTAATAGTTATGGTGGATAACAGTTCAATAAAGATAAGTTAAAATTCTTTTGTTTGTGTTTTAGGTTAAATAATTTATTCATTAATCACTGGAGGTCACTGGTTTGGGTTCCAGTTTGTCATCTTCATTGTCACCTCCAGTTGTTGGGTTGGTGTTTTTAGTTTTAATGTTTAATGTGTCTGCCCAGTCTTCATCTAAAACTGCAGTGGTGCCAGCATCTTCATAGCATGAAATAAATTCTTCATATGATGTTCCCTGCAGTAATGGCTCAGTTTCATCTGTGGCATTGTCTTCATTTTCATTGTGTGGTGTGGCATTTAATCACTCACCTGTTGTGGACATCAATAAACTACAGTTGAATCATCTCTGATTTGGATTATAGTACATACATATACATGTAAAATCAAAACAAACACAACATGTTTAGATGTTTTGTATTTAAATGAAAAAAGTCACTAGAGAGAGGTCGTTATTCAACCTCCTGCCCAAAAATCACAATCATATGTTGGATCTGTCAGAAAGTCATTTGTGGGAAGTCAGACCAATATATAATCATTCTGTGCACAGAAAAGAAATTGTATCTAAAAGGAAGTCATTATTGAGAGAGGTTGTATCTACCAGGGACTACTGTATTATAGGAAGCAAGTATTTATTATAGAAATGAAGGTTTTTGTAAGTATAGTGTACCTTGATGGTACGAAAGATATAGTGAAAGCAGTTTATCAATTTGTAATAATAAATTTGATATTTTCAGTCATGTATACTCCCCACTGAGCAAACAGAGGCACAGGATGGAACTGATGGATGCCAGTTACCACCTGGTGTCCCTCCTCCTCCTCATCAGGCTGTGGGTAGTCATAAAAATTCCCAATCTGGAATAGGTACAAGCTACTTACCCTATCATCAAGGACCTCCTCAAGATTATCTTGATCGTCTTAATAAAAGAAGGTTGGAAGAGGTGAGCTTTTGATTATTTAGAACATGTGGTGATTTAATGAATATGCAAAAAAAAATGTATATACATATATGTTAGTAATTTAAAAAATGAAATAATTACATAAGAGTTGCATTAGATTTTTTAGACTGCACTGGGTAAAGAAGCTTGTGTTAAAATAGTGCTAAAATAATGTATGTATTTAAGTACTGCAACTGTTCTAAAAGTCTTTTAATGTGTTTTCTACCTCAACATTATTTTTATGCTGTACTGTTCTGCTACGAGACTCTATAACTAAACAATAGTGTGTCATAACTCTTTATTTCAAGTCTTAAGCTAATCTAAAGTTACACTGGTGAAGCCTTTTAATGGGCTTTCATTGGTCACTAGATGTCATTATGGAGAATTATATAAAGGTTTACCTATACTGGTGTGATGCTTTTCAAGAGGACGGGGTTGATGGTAGTGTATGAATTTAGGTTAGTTTTTTTCAACAGTTGTCCATATCTATTTGAATTGTACTTATGTCAGATTTTGATCTGTTATGAACCATAGTAAGCTACTTCTGCTGTGTTTTTTGAGTTAACTTGTGTATATTATAAAAAACATCTTTAATGGTTCTGTAGGCTGAAGATCTAGACATGAATGCAGGCATTCATGGTAACTGGACCCTTGACAATGCAAAATCCCGCCTTCATCAGTTCTTTCAACAAAACAAGATTTCTGCTGAATACAAGTATAGCCAAGTGGGCCCTGACCATAACAGGTTTCTTCTCCTTTCTGTTGTTTTTTTGCTAAGTGCAGTTGTCACTGTAATGGTATTTGGTATATAACTGATTTGTAATATGCTTTTATTCTACACAGATTAAGATTTCAGTGTGATACATTCTTGAGCACCAATTATTATTACTGAATTCTGCAGAATATTTCACTGGACTTGAGATATTTAATAATTTAATTTAGTATGAAAAGTCCTTGCAACAATTTTAAAATGTTGCAATATCTTCAAGCGTATTACAAAAGAACTGAGCTTTGTGGTTTCACTGTTTTAAGTAAGTGCTGTAGACATTAAATAACAATGATTAATGCGTACATAATTGGTTGTAATCAATGTAACTAAGATATTTTAAATTTAAAAAAATGCAGTTTTAAGATTAAATACAGTATTTGCCGGTGTATAAGACGATACTTTTTTACACTTAAAACAATGCCTGATTTTATCCCTCATCTTATACTGAAGTTCAAATAGAGAGTTCCAGGAAGAATTCTCCAGTTAATAGCATATTTTACTTAAACTACATTGTTCCTTTTACTTTTGTTTGCTTTTTTGAGTAAGTATGTTGACATATTGCCACCTACTGCATTACAATAACATATGTGTAATTGTATCATTTGTCTTGATTCTTCATAACTAGAAGTTATTTATCTCGCATGCTAGTTACAATTAATCAATACATTTTTGATGTGAAACGTGTTTATCTCATCCATCATACTAAAACATTATGCTAATATTATATCAAAAAGTTAGTTTCTGTAACATACAATAATTTTTTAAACATATTTTTATAATAGATCACTGTATCATAAGGTTTAGTATTTTTTGTAATAGAAAAGGAATTCAACTGTGATGAAAACTTTGTAAAGTTGTTTATTACATGTTTGTGACTTATGTTATGCCATACTGAGCTGTCATAAGCATTTCAAGAGCATAAAAAACTACACTTGTGGTTGTATTGATTACCCCAGGGCACAGGTTAGCACAGTTTAAAAATAACTTCTAAGAATGTCTTTACAAAAGTAACATCCTAGACTTGTTTGACAATAGAGGTCGTCCTA